AAATAACTATTGAAAGCATGGAACTGAAAATCAAACATATTTACCCGAGTGATGATGTGAAAGAACAACTTTTGAAAGCTATTCAAACTGATAAGCCGATACTTATACCGTTTAGAAAATGGGATCTGAATGAACTGCCTGCAATTACCGCAGATGCGAGAAGAGAAATATGGTCAGTTAAAACTAGCACCGCAATCGAAAGACCACGTTTCATTATAGTATGTTTCCAAACTGGTAAACGTGACGTCGCAACCTCAGACCCGACCCTGTTTGATCACGTGAATGCTGCTAGTATTCGAGTATCTTTAAATGGTGAATACTATCCCAACGAACGTATGCAATTGGACTTTGCAAACAATCACTTTACTGAAGCTCATTTCAACTATAGCGACTTTCAAACCAGCTATACAACTTCTTCTTCTCCTCTGAAGAGATGTCTTTTAGATTATACCGCTTTTAAAAATCGCGCTTTGTTTGTTATTGACTGTTCCAAACAAGAGGAAACCATGAAATCATCAACTGTTGATGTTAGATTGGATATCGAAGCCGATACTGGCTTTCCAACCAACACCAAGGCCTACTGCATCATTATACATGACTGCTTAATCGAGTACTTCCCCCTCACCGAAGTTATTAAAACCATCTCGTAAGCAACGAAGGACTCTCAGTTCCGCATCAGACATCATGAGGATCGCGTTTGTTGACATTCAAGGCTTTACAGTTGACGGATTATTCGTACCTAAAGAACTATGTATCGAAATTGGTTTCAAGAAAAGTCATTACATCTTTACATCTCCGCAACCTTTTTCTACATTAAATACTAAAGACAAGAAAACTGTCGCTTACTTGGAGAAGAATTTCCATGGGCTTAAATATTCTTCCGGCGACGTTAAATATTCCAAGTTAAATGAAATAATTAAAAATAAGGTGATATATGCGGCTGACTATGTCTACGTTCGTGGAGAACAGAAAGCAAACTTTTTACTCAAGAAATGTCACATTTTTGGTGTTTTTCCCAACATTATTGATGTTTGCAAGTATGATGGTACACCGTGTGCTACTGGAAACTTTGTTGCTGATTCCGATCCATGCCACACCAACGGACAATTTTCCTGTACCCAGAGAAATGTTGAACGTCTACGCCACTGGTTTTCAAATATCATATTACCTATGTAGTTTTTTCTATTTTCAATAAAATATTAAACGTATTATTGTAGTTTTATTGAAAATACCTCTGGTTTGCGAAATAATTGTCAGAATGTCTATACTATTTTCACTTTGAACGGTATCATCCTGTATAATAATAACAGTACATCGTATACAGGTTATGAGACATTCTGACCGACCGACCGACCGACCAGAGGAGCCCACCACGCTATTTAGGTCACGCCTTGCTATATACGATTTAACGATATACCGTCGGTCCATCGATCCGCTATTTTTCGATGCACCCCTGTATACACGTTCTGAATGCCCCCCGTAATCCACGCCAACACCAGACAGGTGCGACATCGGCGCCATCTATGCGCGAGATGCCCAACCCATCAATGGCAGCTGTCCAATGACACATAGATTCCGTTTGGTTTGTACAGCGCCAAACAAATCGGCGCCATCTATGCGCGAGATGCCCAACCCCTCAATGACAGGTGTCCAATGACACATAGATTCCGTTAGGTTTGTACACCGCCAAACAAATCGGCGCCATCTATGCGCGAGATGCCCAACCCATCAATGACAGGTGTCCAATGACGTATGACAGATGACGTTTTAACGCCATCTATGCGTGAGATGCCCAATGACGCATGACAGGTGTCCAATGACACACAGATTCCGTTTGGTTTGACAGCGCCATCTAGCGGCGGAATCCCCAACTCATGATTACAGATTCCGTCCAACAACCTGTCAATGGCGCGCGACGCCAGCGCCTCTGGTGGCGGATTTTGGAAGTTTTGAGACCGAATCCCCATAGACCATCTACTAAGCAACAACATCCTACTCTGGTTTTGAAGACGAAAGAGCTTTTTTCTTCTAAAGCAGAATCACTCAAGCGGATGAGACTGGGTAAATCGGGAAGTTATCACAGCATCTCAAAGCTTCATTTGAAATAGCTTTTATGATACCAAAGCACAAGAAACCTCATACTATCGGTGAAGAATTAATAAAACCAGTAGTAGGGGAGTGCCACTTCAACTGCCTCCCGGGAGGGTTGGGGGGTGGTTTGTGTGGTGGGGTAAGAACATCGAAAACGTGTTGTTTAATAGAAATGAGTCGATGGAGGGTTTGGATAACTGATACACACCCTCTTCCCTCCCCACCTCCCTCCCCCCTACTATAACTCATCGACTGGGCGAACGAGCAGCAGCGCTCTTTTCCCGCTTCAATCTTGTCATGTCTTCACCTTTATCCGATGATAGCAGCAGTGCTCTTTTCCCACTTCAATCTTCTCATCCCTCCACCATAATCCATACCGACAAATTTGTATCGTATAAATAGCTCGATGGAAGGCATTGCCGCCCTCTCAATGACCATTCTAATTGTAAAACCTCTTGAAGCTGCGGCCCCCGATCAATAACCTATTGTATAATAGAAAAGAATCGACTCTCAATGGGCATGCTGATTCTACATAAAACCTATTATCGGTTCGGTCCCCGACCACCAACGTATTCTAAAATGAAAAAGAGTCGACGGACGGTGTAAGGCATTGTTGCCTTCTCAATCGCCTTGTCGGTACCTTATCAAGAACTGTAAAACATTTTTGCGGTTCTGTCCCCGATCATAAACGCGTTTGTAATAGAAAAAGAGTCGATGGAAGGTGTAGTTAAGGTATTGTTGTCCTCTCAGTGGCCCTGCCGAATGTAAAGCCTCTTAGCAGTTCGGTGCTGTATATCGGTTAAAGCTCACCAAAGACACCAGGTAGTCGTTCAAAATGTTTGATAAAATTTGACTTTGTTGACAGTAGTAATTAGTTTAAAAATATGAGGTACTATAGGCTAATATGATGGGTATAAATAATATAAAGGTTCAGATCAGAACCGGGTTAGGAAAATGCAGCAGGTAAAGTTGTTTTGACAAATATCATATTCCACTTTATATTGACCAGTATATTTATCTTTCCAGAAGCAGTACACCCACTCTGGTTTGACAAGATGTGGATGCATTATGCATCATTGCGTTGGCCTGATTCAAAGGATCTACGTACAGCTATCATGAGATTAGTGTGCCAGTTAACGGATTTGATGCTTGACGCTGAACATTCAACAAACTACGATATGAATATTTGTTGGGATGATAACGAGGTTGGAAGGATCAGGAGACTAATTCGGAAATACGAGGAAGGGCAGAAGTTGTGCACGCAGTATCTACAAGAAGATTGTACTATTGAGCAGTTTTGTAGTGATATGATTAATTATAACCGTAGATCATTTCTGTGTGACATTGCAAGGTATTTACCTCCCGAAATTATCCTCAAACATAACCTCGTGTATGAGGATTGAACACTATCTATTTAGTTTACTATAGGATTATACCATGCATTATTATTAAATAAATACCTGACATATTGAGTTGTTGTTATTTCACTGAAGAAAATCAATGCATGATAAATATATGAATACATTATATTGTAATGCCATAAAATTTTTCCATCAACTGAGTGAAGGCGATCAAAGAAATGTCAAGTTTCCGATAGATGTCTGCAACCTACTGGAAATTTTCAAATTTCACCTTAAAGATAACGATAGATTCTTCTTGAAAGCTCATCAAAAAATATGAATATGTGCTCGATATCATTGTTCAGCTGAAGATACACAATGTACAAATTGTTTACACTAACAATGATAGCTGCCGTAAATTCGAATTGAGAATTGTAAACCACCTGAATGGGGTGAGGCTTGCCCTATACAATGCCAGTGACAGAAAGTCACTCCACTGTGATATATATATATATATATATATCTCATAATATGCGACCGAATATTCGACAACATCCACACAAGACCAAATAGAAATGGCTGGTGAAAGAAGGGACTTTTTTTTATTACGGTACACTACTCCCAGAAAACTATCTATAAAGAGTGTTTAGAATTTCTATGTATGCGCTCCTATATATAGCAGGTGGTACCCCAAGCTCTCATGCTATATATTATAAGGGTTTAAATAAAGGCACTGTATAGTGTTTTGAGACAACTTTCAACAAAGGATGTTCGGCATTCCTGCCACAAATCTATGCAATGTCACCTGTGCTAGTAGCGAAGGTCTCACGGTCAGGATTTGAGATTTCTTTTATCGTGTATCTAGGTTAGAAATACATTTCTTGAAGGTAGCACCCCCAGCTGTCACTCCTTATATTATATGGGGATTAATTGACGCACGATACAGTATTCGCATTCTATAAAGAATATTTTTAGTATTTCACGGTTAGAACTTAACATTTTTTTGTTGTGCATCTTGGTTAGAAATATGAGAATCGTATACGTCCTGCAGCTGGCACCCCTAGCTGTCACCCCCTATATTATATTATGGGCTTTAATTGAAACATGGTACGATCGACAGTCTCATGGATAGAAATGATAGATTTTGTTTTTTTTGTATACTTATGTATATTTGATTATTAGACCTAGTTTTTTTATGTATTGATTGTGATATTTATTATTTTTGTATAATATATAACATATATACTTGTAATTTTTTTGCACACATATTTTCAAATTTAAAAAATATAGGTCTTATCAGTAAAAATGACTTGCAATCAGTTAGAATATATATAGTCAAGGAAAGTATGGGTAATAAATGGTCAATAAATGTTGATAGGTCTGCCGGATTTGGAAAAACAGTCCTGGAGAAAAATACTTACTAATTACTGGAATAATAAGTATTTCGAAAATTACAAACATACCTCTACTTGAGCAGACCTAATCTATTTTTTTTTTTTAGAATTATAATACACGTATTATACATGACGGAAAAAAATTAAATTAAAAATTAATTTCAAGGTTTATTACATTATACATATATATGTACATTTTCAAAAATCAAATAAAAGAAAAAGTATTTCTTTTTCTTCTAAAAGCTTGCCCCTCTTCCGTTGTGCTATTTCTTCCAAGTTGTCAACCCTTTTCATCGCATCGTCGATTTGCCGTTTCCTCCTATTTTTCTGTTCATGTACGCGTTTTCTGTCCTCGTCTAACTGTTTTAGAAGTTCCTCGTCTTGATGAAGAAGATCTCGAAGTTTTTGGCTCTTAACCATTTCCACTGCCAGTTGTCGCTTGGTAGTTTGGATGTCCGATTTCTTTAGCATTATACTTTCTTTGAAAGCATTTATACCAGTTTGACTGTTCGGCTGCTTCGTGGTGGTTTTCTTTGTCCTTTAAATTACGTGCTTCATCTGGTTTAACGATTTTGAAGGCGACATGTGAGCCTTCACTGCTGGAAGCGTTGTTGTAGAGTTATCCGTTCTATTTTCTACCACGGCAGTTTCAGCAGGTCAAATTTGAATGAACTCCTGGAGTTCTATGTCAGTTGTCATCTAAGCCAGTTGAACTCCCTCGCCTTCCAGGTCTGCTATAATTGCATCCAAATCATTATGGAGAACTGCAATGTCATCTAGATTATTCGCGGTTGCTTTCATAATGATATTGATTATGGGGATACAAATCCTGGTACTAACAGACTCAACTAGTGTAACGTAGCAGGCGCGACTGAATTTATATGCAATCCTGACACACACATACGCGCACGCACGCACGCACACACGCACACACGCACACAAGCACACACGCACACACACAGTGGGGGGTAGGGGGTGAATGCAAACAGGAGAACGATCAATCGGTAGGTTAGAGGCGTTTTATCATTAGTGAATATACATGAAAACTTCCAAGCTGAACGCTGACTGCTTTCACATCAAAATTACATACCGAGAGGGGGGGCGTGGCCTAACCTCTTGTATGCATGCTAACCAATAAGGATACGTAGAACCAGGTGTCTGAATAGACGTAATCTGAAACGAAAGATTAGTGGAGGGAGAGTGAAGTGGCTAGGTTCAGGGGTTTTGAATGAATGTACAAATCAATGTGTCTAGGTTAGTTTATTAAAACAAGATTTAAAGAATTTGTATTTTTTAATATTAATATATATTATATATATATATATATACAGGGTTATCCAAATTAAGTGTCCACCATTAGTAACTTTGTTATTAGTGAAAATACAAAGTTGTTTGAATTAGCAAACTAGTAGCATTTTTAACGCTGGTAAAAATGAGAAATCAAAAAAAACAATTGAGAGTCGTTATTTTCATTTTTTTCAGTAAAATAACATTTTTTTAAATGGAAACCCCTGTATATTATATTTTTTTCTGTTAAAGCATCAAATTTTAAACAAAAAAGTTCATAATGACTTTTCCGCTAAAGTCAAAAATAAAGTCAAAATAACGATAAATATTTTTAATTATTTGCAGTATTATAATATTAAGACGGCTATGAAAACAACATGGCGTTCACGATTTGACAGCATTAAGATAAGCGACAAATTGTTAAACTGGACATACTCGCAACTAGAAGGCTTTGGAAAACAATGATAAAATCAAATAATGCCAAACATTAGTGTAAATACTTGTTTATAAGCTTTATTGTGTCATTAATTTAAAGAAAAATGTTCTCCCATGAAGAAAAGTGTGATATGTTAGAATGCTATTTAGTGTGCAGAAAATCCTCCTTGAGAGCAAGAGAATACTACAGTGAATTATATCCCGCTCGCATTCAACCGTATGAACGATATTTTCTGAGACTTTATCGAAAATTTAGGGGCAACGAAAATGTTTTTGCTAAAACAAGGGCAAAAAAACAATTCATAATAAGCGAGGCCACGGAAATTGCAGTTATTGGATATTTTGAAGCTTATCGTGAGAATTCAATAGCAGATATTCTCAAGGACTCTAATTTCAGTTATGGTACTGTTCAAAGGATTTTAAAAAAATACAAATTTATTCCGTATAAGTACCGACCAGTTCAAACGCTTTTGGCAGGGGATCCAGAGAGAAGACTTGTTTTTTGCCATTGGTATCTTAGCTTCTGTCGCCAAAATGTAAATAACTTTCGTTACCTTTTATGGACAGATGAATCAAATTTTTCAAATTCTGGAATGTTTAATAGAAAAAACCACCATTATTGGTCAAGAGAAAATCTTTTGTTAGTACATCCAAGAGGCCCACAAGTCCGTTTCAGTTTCAACGTTTGGTGCGGTATAATTGGTTCAAAAATTGTTGGCCCGTTCTTTTATGAGGGAACGCTAACTGGTGAAAGATATGTGGAATTTATGTCAGAAATTCTGACTAATTTCTTAGACGAATTGGATCTTATAAGTAGACATTATCTGCATTTTCAGCAAGATGGCGCACCTGCCCACAACTCCAGAGGTACTTATCATTTTTTAAGTACTACTTTTAATGATCAGTGGATAGGAACAAATGGCCCAATACAGTGGCCTCCCAGATCACCAAATCTAAACCCACTTGATTACTTCTTGTGGGGTTACTTAAAGAACCAAATTTACAAGCGAAGGTACGATAACCTTGACGCGTTAAAGACTGCAGTTAGGGAAAAGATAACCCAGATAGATGGTAGGACCATACTTAAGACAGTTCGAGCAGTTGAAAAACGTGCCCAAAAATGTATTGAAGAACAAGGTGGTGTTTTCGAGCATCTTCTTTAAAAAAAATTGTTATTGTATTTTGTAAGATTATAAGTTGATGTTGAAAATAAAGTTTGTCGATACAATTTAATTGTTTCAGATTGGAGGCCATAACTTCAACAATTTGTAACCTACGAGAAAAGTTATTGTAAGCTTTTTTGTTTAAAATTTGATGCTTTAACAGAAAAAAATATAATATACAGGGGTTTCCATTTAAAAAAATGTTATTTTACTGAAAAAAATCAAAATAGCGACTCTCAATTGTTTTTTTTTATTTCTCATTTTTACCAGCGTTAAAAATGCAACTAGTTTGTTAATTCAAACAACTTTGTATTTTCACTAATAACAAAGTTACTAATGGTGGACACTTAATTTGGATAACCCTGTATATTATATATATATATATTAATTTAACACAAAACATAGAACTGAGAGTCCAAATAAACACTACAATACATCATTGATATCTATCCAAGAGTTTTTACAATGTGGAAACCCCAACCATTTAACTAAAAGCTTGTTGCCCTTTCTCCTAATCACCTTTTCAATCAAGTACTCATTTGGAAATTTTGTTTCTCTTAGTACCTTCTCGTAGAAACAGCCTTTTATTGGACAAACTTCCACGTCTTCTAACATATATGTAACTGGATTTGAAATGTTGACTTTGTATGTTTTAAATAACTCCGTTGGATAGTTGGATGTATACTCTTTTTCAAAAAGACTTTTGTATTTGCTTACTCTGACGATATCGCCAAGTTTAAGCTTCCCTTTTCCAACTACCTTTGGATGATTGTACACACTCAATCGTGTATGGAAGTCGACTCCTGTTGTTATAAAAATCAGTAACATCTGCTAAGATATTGATCTACCGGTAGCTCCCCCTGACTGAAAATTCAGTGAAAAGTAGGTGTTTTAGTGATCGGATAGCTCTCTCAACTATTGCTGCTTTTCTGTACTATATGTGGAATAATGATTAATCCCATACTTTTGCATCAGAGCGGAAAATTTGCTGTTGTAGAACTTCGATCCATTATTCGTTTGTAGGTTCTTTGGGTGGTGGATAGCCGTTTGTAAAATATCATCCATTGCAATAGTTACGGTTACCATATCTTTCCTTTTAATTGGTCTGCACCACAAGAACTTAGAATAGCAATTGATAACTACTGATATGTATCTATATCCATCATTCTCTTCACTGAAAGATTGCATTTCAGCCAAATTAGCTTGCCACAAGTCAGCGAAACCCTTTATGATAGTTCTTCGGCGGGGGAAATTCCTTCGAGCCGCCATATGTAGCTCCTCGGCTATACCACGTTTTGTTTCACTTACAATAGACATATTCACTAGTATGAATACCCTGATGGAATGAGCTTGTATTTGCAGGTATCTAGTTTATTTAGATGGAAGTGATAGGTTTAAAATCGTACTCAACTCGTTAAACTTTTTGTCAAAGTCAAGTTTACTTTCCAGCACCTTATCGTTGCAGTATGTCACTGAATCACTTAATACATCGGAAACTGCTAGTCGCATCAATTTACCCATTTCGGTTACAAATTTATTCACGGTTTCTTCAATATACTTTACAGTCACAGCATCGTTCTTGTCCACAAGATCACCAACATTCTTTATCAGTTTTTTTCCAATATCATAGTCACCATTAGTAGTTAGTTTGAAGCCAAAATCAGATATACCGCGTACGGTATGATATTTTGAGCCGTGACGTCCAAATTTTATTCTCTCCTTTTTCTTCTCAGAATCCAATAGCAGGCAACGTCCACCAACATCAAAGCTCACTTGGAGTTTGCCTAATAATAACTTGTCCGACTGTGGATTTATTCTCACATTGTGTATGCCTCCATACCCTGGATTGTTCGCTTTTAAATTAGATATATGGTTATTAACTAAGTTGGTCAAAGATCCGGATGCTTCACTATGATTTGAAGTAGACATGTATCTACTCATTAAATTTTCTTCGTCCGCTCCGAATGATGAATGTGTGTCAGATTGCGTTTGCATCGGAGCAATAGTAGAAAGTTTAGTATGAGTCAAGTCATCAGATGATACGTTTCCTGAATTATTTGATTCCATAGATGATTGTAGTCTAGGTGTACTTGTAGTCGGTGGAAAGATCTGCTCAAATGTATGGTCATTGAATTCACTACTGTTCTTAAGCAACTCAGTTCTTCTTACAGCTGATTTTGTCGCATCAAATAATTTCTTTCTTGATTCATCAAATGATACTTTTTTTAGGATGCTTGGACTATCGATTTGGGGTGTTGACTGTTTCGACAAGCTGAATGTAGATGCTACCGCTATTGTTTTGAGCTGCTTAGTAATGGGCTCATATACCTGCTGCAATGCACTATCATGAAATTCACGTCCTTTCTTGATAGCAATAAATTTCTTCCTAACTGACTTTGCTGTATATACTAATTCCTTCTTGAGTGCCACTTCGGTGTTATTCTGCTGCCGTTTCATTTTGCTATCCTTTAATCCACCGCGATGCGTACTAGATGCAGTCCCACGATTGATTGATGGTGTTTCTAATCTTCCAGTGGAGACTTCTATGCCGCTGCATATCATTGATTTGTATATCCGCCACTTAAGAATCAATATTGCTGATACATAATCCTTGTTTCTGTTTTGTGACCATCATTGTACATCGAGTTGAGCATATACAGGGTGACTTTGAAGTTGAGTCATTAATTTTCAGATAATGATTGTAGAAGGAAGATAAACCAAAATATGTGTGTAAAAATAAAAAAAAAATAAAAAAAAATAAAAAAAAAATTTTACCTTGTTTTATAAAGTATCCTCCCGACAAGTATTTCAGTGCGGACCTGTATTTGATCGTGAGGTCCCCTCTGAGGTCTTAAGTCTTGATTCACGAGCCCGTTGTACTACATTAACAAAGGCACGAGGGGTTGGTTGCACTCGATTGGGAAACCGATCCGCATAAACATGTGCCATTTTTTATTTCGTTTAAGCCACGCAACAGATACCACCATTCACTGTCACTGACTGTATACAAATGAGTAGATGTCTTATGGGGATTCGGTCTCAAAACTTCCAAAATCCGCCACCAGAGGCGCTGGCGTCGCGCGCCATTGACAGGTTGTTGGACGGAATCTGTAATCGAAATTCATGAGTTGGGGATTCCGCCGCTAGATGGCGCTGTCAAACCAAACGGAATCTGTGTGTCATTGGACACCTGTCATGCGTCATTGGGCATCTCACGCTTCGATGGCGTTACACGTCATCTGTTATACGTCATTGGACACCTGTCATTGATGGGTTGGGCATCTCGCGCATAGATGGCGCCGATTTGTTTGGCGCTGTACAAACCAAACGGAATCTATGTGTCATTGGACAGCTGCCATTGATGGGTTGGGCATCTCGCGCATAGATGGCGCCGATGTCGCACCTGTCTGGTGTTGGCGTGGATTACGGGGGGCAACGTGTATACAGGGGTGCATCGAAAAATAGCGGATCGATGGACCGACGGTATATCGTTAAATCGTATATAGCAAGGCGTGACCTAAATAGCGTGGTGGGCTCCTCTGGTCGGTCGGTCGGTCAGAATGTCTCATAACCTGTATACGATGTACTGTTATTATTATACAGGATGATACCGTTCAAAATGAAACTTTATGTAGTAGAATGATGGTGGGGGGGTGGGGAGTCGAAGGAACCGACTGTTTTTTTTTTGTTTGACAACAGGCTGAATACGAAATAAACATAGATTTCTGAAAAATGTATTTTTTAATGATATACAGATACAAGTTTAGATAACAGAGTTTTTAGTTGATGTAACAAATCCTGGCTGGGGCATGGTACTCCAAATAGAGTCCAATGAAATGGTCCGGTCGCAACAACTTTTCTTGTAAATTCATTAAATTTATAGTAAGTTGCGTGACGGAAAAAGTAAATATGGCCATCAATCCATCGAAATGCGAGAGAAATATCTTCAGGTAATTCAGGAAATATGTCTCTTATCCGTCCTCTGTTCAACACATCAGTAAAATCGTTAGAAAATTCTATATATGACATATTATTATAAAAGGTATAGGACCGTCCTGCGTTTGATTGAAAAATAGCATTGATTCGAGCCCTATCGGGTATATCAATTGAAAAATTATCAAGAAATTTAATGGTAGGGAATGATGCTGAGAAATAGTTGTTTGGAGACACAATGGTAATCAAGTCACCGTTTGTTGATTGGAAAATATGTTGTAAAGTGTATTGACGTAATTCTGTAGGAACATAATCGACAAGAAGTTCAGGCTGAGATGGGATAATCATTTCGTTTAAGTCTAGTTTCCATATAAACATATCATGTGCAATATATAATCGGTAATTTGAAAACTCTGGAGCAATGGCTAAAAACATAAAATCTGGAATAATATCACACAAATTTTTGAGGATCGGCTGCTTACGAGTTGTAGATCTTATAGTTGTTGTTGTTTTTGGTATTGCTGATGCGGTGGTAGACTTTGGGATTGAATCATATTTGTTTTTTCTTCCATATAGATATTGTACTGCATTTATATCATCAACATCTAGACCACGAATCTCATGCTGATAGAAGGCAAACATAATAGCATTCGGAGAAGCACTATGTGCTATGCCGAGGGCATGTCCAATTTCATGAACCAACACCATAAGAAAACTAGTTTGATTTTTGGGTATATTAGGATTATTTCCAAAATACCAGCATTCATTTATATCTAAATGGATTTCTCTACAGGTGCCGCTAGAGTCAGGAAAGTATGCATGTCCTAAAACGCCGCCAGCATCATCTAATGTCAATGGACATTCATCATTACCCATACAGTTTGCGCTAAAATAATGAGTCTTGCTAACCATGGTTATAGTAATATCAGGAGGATATAGAGTGGGATTGGTAACCATTGTAAATGTTAAGTTTGAAACATTTTGCCACATCTGAAAAGCCATTTCTGCATCTTTTTGGGCCGCAGGTGTGTTTCGAGGGAAATACCATTTCAGGTCATGTTTCCGAAATGGAAAACTTGCTCTAAATTCAGCATCACTGTATTGACAACGCGGACGATTCATAAATTCAATTGTTGCATTATTCAACAATCCATCCACTGGTAAATTATACTTTTCTTGCAAGTTAGTTAGCAAAGTAGAGAAATCTGTTGTATTATCGATGATATGTTCATATTGAGTTAGGTATACTATAGCGTCTTTTTCGGAGAAATCGTTGCAAAGCACGTATGTGAAAGTTGAAATAAAAAATAATACGTCTACCCACATCAACATCTTGATAGAGAATGATGTCAAAAATCTCAGATAGCAAATATAAATTCGTTTACCCCCCAATCAAAATCTTGACTGAAAAAAAATTAGGCAGCAAATATACAATAATCATACACGAATTTCTATATTTCTAAAATTCTACTCTCATGTGCAACTTGTAATTGGAATTTCCGCCGGACAAACGATACATTCATGTATTACTAAGAAATTATATAAAAAATACTGCAACCGCAATGAATGTTGTTTTCTCGATAAAAATGGTACTGAGAATATGATGCATATAATATGCATATTTACGATACAATTATCTCATGCACGCGTGTGTCATCTCAACTACGTACTTATATTGAGCGAGCGCATGCAGTTTTCTCGATAAAAATGGTACTGAGAATATGATGCATATAATATGCATATTTACGATACAATTATCTCATGCACGCGTGTGTCATCTCTACTACGTACTTATATTGAGCGAGCGCATGCAATAGTCATCATTGTTTCACACTTAACGCACAACGCTGCAAGCTGCAACAACGACCGCAGTACAATTAGTGCTTCGAGAGAGACGAGAGAGCGAAAATTTTAAAAAAAGTAAGTGCTATTTTATTTAATATTTTTCTTTTTTATGTCTCTAAATGCAACTGTTTTTTTTTTCGTGTTATGCTTCAAAATAGTTAGACGACTCAATTTTTTTTATAGATGGATTTATCAAAAATTAATGCTGCGTCTTCGATTGTAGACCGCAAACCTATCAGAAAATTAAAGGACCTACCAGTTGGGACACCATTTGCAATCCAAGCAGCTAAAGTGGTCAAGTCGAAATTTGGGGAAGCCGTGCTATTAGATTTAGGACCGGAAGTGCTATTTCTACCACAGCGGGTGACGGAAACGTACCAGCCGGTCATCGACGAACTTTTTCACGGAAAATACTCGATCATCTTCCAAGGGGAAGTGGACGTAGGGAAAAGCCGACCGCTAGCATCATTCAAAATAGTGGAAAATTAACAAAGCAGAGAACAGGAGGAGGACAGGGTGAGCATTTTTATATATTTTTGAGTAATGTGTTTGCTTGAAAAAAAAAATGTCGTCTTTTCAAATGTCTTCAAATAAGGTTAAAAAGATCATCAAACAAACAGACGGTGTTCTACTATCAATTGTTAGTCTACGGAAAATTTTATTTGATAATTTTACAATCAGAGACGCGGAAGTGTGGCTGAAACGAATAGAAAAACAAATTAGATTATGTAAACGGGTAATTCGTAGTAGAAAGCAAAATAAATTATCTGTAGGGACCTGTAGAAAAGTAGAAACAAATTTGGGGCATTTTAAACATTTTAGAAAGTTGATTTTAACTAGACATATTGGGGCAGGACTTCACTTAACATTGGGTCAGAGGGTTAGATGGGAAAATGTAGAATCGAGCTTTCAAAGTAGAATAAAAACCGGTTCCATAGCTAATTTGCGTCATAAGGACTTGAATCAATTTTTAGCAGATTGTGTAGTTGTTTTTAAAAGGAAAATTAGGAATATTTTGAACACCCATTGTGCGCTCAAAGTAAATACAACATTTTGCGGGGAGTTTATTAGGAAATCGGGGGATAATGAAATTTTGGGAATTAAATATATTAATACTAAAAATCATATTATTGATACATCAACTCAAATAGACGAGTGGTTTAAGATATATGTTAAAGATAAACTTTTAAACGAATTATCGGAATTTGCTGAAAAAGATTCGGGATTTGCGTTAAATAAAATTATTTCCTTAGTTGTTAATATCAGTAAATATCAATTGGGAAACGGTTCATCTTATATTAGACTACCAGAACCGATTATAAGGAAAAATGCTTGTATAAACATTAAAAATATAGATCAAAATTGCTTTTACTGGGCCATTGTAAGCGCTCTTCGGACTCCTAGCAATAAAAGACATGCAGAACTAACCTCCTCATATCCACACTTTACTGACGTTTTACAAACAGAAAATTTAGATAGTCCTATGCTGCTAACAAAAATTTCAAAATTTGAAAAGATGAATAACATTTCAGTCAATGTTTACGCTTTAGAATTGATCGAAACAGAAAAAAAATCATTTTACATAGTAGTACCAGCAAGATTAACGGAAAATAAACGGGATACGCATGTTAATTTACTTTTAGCTCAAAATAAATATTATCCGCGTTTAAATGATTATGATGCTCCTCCACCAGCGCCAGCAAATGAAGATAATGATTCAATCGATGAAATTAAATATCACTATTGTTGGATTAAAAATCTTTCGCGTCTTATTAGTAGCCAGTTAAATAAACATCGTGAGAAAAAATTTATTTGCGATAGATGTCTGAACTATTTCCATCAGCAAAATAAATTAGTTGAACATGAAAAACTGTGTTCTAAATTTAATAAATATAAAATTAACCTTCCTAAAGAGAGCTGCGTTGAATTTAAAAACTTTACATACCAACAAAATACTCCTTTTGTTGTTTATGCAGATTTTGAATGTCAATTAGAAAATCATAAAGAAAGTAGCGTCGTAAATTTAACTAAAACCATAAAATATCATAAACACGTTCCGTATAGTGCTGGTTTCTATGTAAAATGCAGCTATGATGATAGCCTTTCTTATTTCGAGAGCTATCGAGGTGCAGATTGTATGGATTGGTTTGCAAATCGTATGGCTGGTGTTGCGCAATTTGTAAACTCAAAAATAAAAACAAGCGTACCTATGATTGAAAAATTAGACACATGTAAGGCAACATCATGTCATATTTGCGGTAAGAGATTTTCAAAAACAAAAAAAGACATAATCGTTAGAGATCACAACCATTTCAGTGGAGAGTTCAGAGGTTACGCACACCAAGCATGCAATCTGAACTTTAGAAAATTGTTTGTTGTGCCGGTTATATTCCATAATTTAAGTGGGTACGATAGTCACTTTATGATTTCGAATTTATGTAAAAAAGGTCGCTTAAGTCTACTTCCCATCAACAAAGATAAATACATCTCCTTTACGCTGCACTCAGATGAAAATAACATTAAATTGCGGTTTATAGACTCTTTTCGATTTATGGGGGCGTCTCTTGATGAATTAGCTGCAATTTTAGCAGAATCAGAAAAGAAAATTTTACAAAGAGAATTTCAAAATTTAGATGAAGATAAATTCAAATTATTAACACAGAAAGGAGTTTTCTGTTACGATTACATTGATTCGTTGAAAAAATTAAATGAAACGACTTTGCCCCCAATTGAAAAATTTTACAATAAATTAAACGATGAAAGTGTAAGTGACGAGAAGTATGCTCATGCGCAATCTGTTTGGCAACAGTTTAACATTAAAACATTAGGAGAGTATTCTGATATATATTTAAAAACAGATATTCTGCTTCTTGCCGACGTTTTTGAGCAATTGCGTAAAAAATGTTTCTCCACCTATGGTCTGGATCCTGCGTGGTACTATACAATGCCCGGATATACGTGGGACTGTATGCTCAAATACACTGGGTGTAAGTTAGAACTACTAAAGGATCTAGATATGGTGATGTTTTACGAAAATGCTATAAGAGGTGGAATTTCGGTGTGTAGCAACCGATTTTCGGAGGCCAACAATAAATATATGCCCGAATATGATCCTGAAAAGCCGTCCAAGTACCTTATGTACCTGGATGTGAATAGCTTATATGGGAATGCTATGCAGCAACCCTTACCCTACGGAGGGTTCAAATGGGTAGATGATGTAACATCGTTTGATGTGATGTCAATACCCGACGACTCTGACGTAGGGTACGTGCTACAAGTCGATCTATCGTACCCACAAGAACTGCACGATAAACACAAAGATTTTCCGTTTGCGGCAGAACGTAGCGTACCACCCAGCGACGGCGGGGTAAAATTGCCGAAATTAATGGCAACACTTACGGATAAAAAAGAGTACACGGTTCACTATAAAAATTTAAAACAAATGCTAGCTAATGGGTTAAAGTTAACGAAAATCCATAAAATTTTACAATTTAAACAAGCAGCCTGGCTGAAACCCTACATCGAGTTGAATACTCGATGTAGAGCTGCAGCCCGGAATGATTTCGAAAAAAATCTTTTTAAATTAATGAATAATGCAGTATTCGGTAAGACCATGGAAAATATACGTAAGCACCGCGTATGTAAAATCGTTAAATCTTGGGGTGGTCGCTATGGGGCAGCAAACTTGATTTCGAGTTTTCGGTTCCACAGTCGCACAATTTTAGAGGAAAATCTGGTGGTTATCGAATTGAACAAGGCTGAAATAACGTTTAACAAACCTCTGTATGTAGGGCAGGCAATTCTAGACCTATCGAAACTAGTCATGTACGATTTTCATTACACCTATATGCTACCAAAAATGGGTGCAGAAAGGTGTAAGCTCATGTACATGGACACAGACAGTTTTATCTACGAATTGCAATGTGAGGATGCATATGAGGAGATCATTAAAGCTGATTCCAGTAAATTTGATACTTCGGATTATCCTGAAAATAACATATATAAAATACTGCGTAAGAACAAAAAGGTGCCGGGTCTAATGAAAGATGAAAATAACGGTAAAATTATGACACATTTTGTTGGACTTCGAAGCAAAATGTATAGTTACAAGGTGCAGGGTGGGAAGGTGGTTAAAAAATCTAAAGGGGTTAAGTACAATGTTGTAAAAAATAAAATTGCATTTGAGGATTATGTTGAATGTTTGAAAGAATTTAAGGAAAAAACAGCTACACAACGCTGTATCAGGTCGTATGCACACAACGTATATTCTGTTGAAC